GGACTGAGAGAGGCATTGTCTCATCTATCTCCACCCTTGTGAGATTACCTTCTATCATCTGAGAGACACCCCCTTCCTAAGCAGCCCAGAATATTGTCTGATGCCATTTCCACAATGTCTCATGGTGCTCTCCAGAACCCCTGTCCTTTGCTGTGAAGCTCTTTGACAGCAAATCAGCTCCAGCCTGAGCGGGGAGGAGATTTTTCTTCCCCCAGTGTAGGACCTTGGATAAAGGAGTTAAACAGTGCTGGCCCCACTCTGGGCCCAGCAGTGCACCAGGTGTGAGTGTCTGCCAGCTGGACTTTGTGCCCCTCATCCCAACCCTTGGAGATCAACAATTTTCAAAGATTTTCGTCCTCTGTACTACCCTCTTCCCCAGCTGGTATTCTGTCAGTTTGTCTCTAGGGATTGATTGTTACAGGGAACAGCATCAAAGGCCTAAGCTAGATGAGATGAACATTTGCTGAACTTCCTTCACCCACCAAAGCTAGGCATAAAATCAGACAACCTAATGAGATTTGTCAAGCCTCCAGAAATCCACGCTGACCCCTCACAGGCAACTTCTCTTATCCTGAGAAATTGCTTCCAGGTTGATTTGCTCCATTATTTTGTAGGGATTGAGGTGAGGCTGGCTGACATGGCTCCTTCTTCATGGCCTTCTTGAAGACAATAACTCCACTGGCTTTCTTGCAGCCCTGAGATGTATTCTGTTTGTACTAAGTCTTTCAAAGGGAGTTGAGAGTGACCAGTTACCAACCATCCCTCATGGAGTGCACAGCATCAAGTCACACACACTCATCTCAGTCCATCTGTTAAAATGTTCCCACACCTGATCCTGCCCTAGTGCAGATAAGCCTTTCCTGCTGATGACTTTCCAAGGAGCCCAATCTCTTGACAGCAATTCCTGCTGGTAAAAACCAAGGCCAAGAATCCCTTGAGTACCTCCACCTCTCCTGTAACCCTCCTCCTCAGTGAAGCTGCTCCAGTCAGCCTTTGGAATTCTCATCTACCTGGAAGAATTTCCTGTGCCTGTCATGTATTTTGCCTGGTTCAAACCCAGGCAGGCTTTGGTTGTCCCTAGTCCTGCATACTCAGACAAACTGGCAAACATTCTCCCCAGAGAAAAGCTCAGTAACAGGAAGAGAGCTGAAACTTCTTGCTGCAAGGGGAGGTGTGTACAATTGCAATTTATTGGTCCAAGCCAAAATCCCCTGCGTTCATGGGACCCCATCAACACTTCCAACACATCTTCTGCCTTCACTGACAGAGCATCACCCAGGATATCATTGGGCGCTTCCACTCAGCACATGAAAGCAGAGAAGGAATGTTGAAAATGAGGAAATTAAATGACAGCACAGGTTGACAGAAACCAAAACACAACCTGCTCCACTAGGTAGAACATTTTATTTTTGAGGTGAGTCTGTTGGAAAATTACTGCTGTCATGCAATGTCAGTGGGCCTGGGGCAGTACAGGAGCAATATAAAAGCAGGTCCTTCTCCTCACTCTCTCATCCACTCCTCTTGCCTCCATTGCCTTCAGTACAAGGTGAGTCTGAAGCTTTTTCTCCTCTTTCTCTTCATATTCCTCAAATGCACCTCAGCTTGTACCTGTCCCAGTCCTACATGGGGTCTTGGAACTGCTGTCATGGGAGAGGGAATGGGAGGAAGTTCTGTCATCACCAGAGGCTGAAACTTTGTTAAGTGTCTCATGAGCTATGGACCAGGAAGGAACCTCTTTGAGCTTGGTTGCTGTCCAGAGGGTTCTTTTGGGCAGAAAGGAAGATGATACCTGTGGATCTCACTGCAAAATCTCCAGCTCTTTTCTCCAACTTGTGGCTTATCTCACTTTTACTGGAATGAAAGATAGATCTTCATCCACAGTTTCTGTTCTGCTTGCCCCTTCCCTGTGTCTCAGGTGCATCTGCAGCCCCGAGCCATGTCCTGCTACACCCCGTGCCGGCCCTGTGGCCCCACCCCGCTGGCCAACAGCTGCAATGAGCCCTGTGTCAGGCAGTGCCAGGACTCCACCGTGGCCATCCAGCCCTCGCCCGTGGTGGTGACCCTGCCCG